TCCCACTCCCTTCAGCTCACTCTTCGATGTAGTAATTGTCTGTTACCCCAACTCCATCTCACCTTCACTATCCCTGCCTCCCACCTATTCTTTCCTCGTCTTCTGCCCAAGTAAAATCATCCCATCTCTTTTCTATCCGTGCTTAGCCTTAAGCCAGCATTTGGCTATCAATAATTATGTACAAAACCATGGTAGATTTTTTTTAAATTAGAAAAAGATTTAATTCCAAAACTAAGTTATACAAAATGATTTTCTTTTTACTAATAAAAAAAACTCCCTAATAAAAACCACAACATTTTACTGATAGTTTCAGGCTTGTTTTAAAATATATGAAGCTAGTGCTCCCCAGGTGGTTGCAGAGTGAATTCCCACTTGTTTCATGGATGATAAGGAAATCCCCACTGCACATGCACAGTCCCTTTTTCCCAAGATCAATTCATTAAAATATTTGGTGATAAATTGCTGAGATTAATTTTTTTAAAAATTTGTATGGCCAAATGATTATTCCTGTTCAAAACTTTCCTAGAAATTGTATCGATTCCCCTTCTTACTCCCATGGAAACAATTTCTGTCATTGTAAGTGGACAACTAACTTAAAAGCCTACTGATTTCACCACAACGAAAGATCGTGGAGGCCTTTGATACTGAGGAAAGAGGAGGAAAGCACAGGTGTTGCATGTCCTGTGTTTGCATGGACAGGTGCTGTGAGAAGAGGACAGGGTATTAGGGGTGATTGAGGAGTGGACAGCAGATTATGCAGGGAACAGTCCCTTCGAATGGCGAAATGAGAAAGGAAGATGTGTTTGGTGGTGGTATCATAATGGAGATGGCTAAAATAGTAGAAAATGATCCACCGAACACAGAGGCTGGTGAGGTAAAAAATAAGAAGGGGATCCAGGTTCTCTGGTCCGAAGGGAGAAGAGAAGGGGTGAGAGCAGAAGAGCAGAAAAGGATTTGATACAGTTAATGGCCCCATAAGCCCCATATAGGGAAATTCTCACTTGTGGAAATATAAAACATCTCAAAAATTTGATCATCAGAAAAAATATATGATTGAGGCAAAGGAACTGAGAGAATGAAATGGAGTTCTTGAAGGGTGTAGGGTGTGAGGAAATAATTGACGTAGCCATGGGGGTCTGGGCTGATGATTAATATTAGTTGATTGCCCATTGCAAAGAATTAGAGACCAAGGAGTCAACAAGGAAAGGGAGAAGTCAAAGATGGACAAAGTGAAACTGAAAGAAAGATGGAAATTGGAAGAAAAGTTGATAAGATTCAGGTTGAGAATGGTTCACAGGACTGATACAGACATCAATATACTGGATAGAGAGTTGTGGAAGGGGTTCTCAGATTAATACTGGAATAAGGACTATTCCACATATACCATAATACAGCATGCATGAATGTGGAGAAAATGAGAAAAATTAAAGTAGAATTTGTTCAACGAAGGAACAATGTTCAGTCAGGTGAAGGACGTTTGAAGTCAATGGAGACTGCTCAGGTCTCCACTTACAGAAGTGAGAGTCTTCAGGCTGTCCTGGTGATGGATGGAACCGTAGGCACATTCAACATTTATAGTGAAGAGGTGAAGGTTAAGGCCAGGAAATTGGAATACTACTAAAGTGACAGTGGACATCAGAAGAGTCACAGCAGAAGATGGGAAAGGCTGGACATGGTGAGACAAAATGCAAAAGAAAGGTGGAAGAAATAAGTTCCGCAGGACATAAATAAGCTAAAATGATGGGTCTGCCAGAGCACCCTGTTAATAGATCTTGGGGTAGAGGCACAAGCAAATAACTCAATTGGTTTGGGTAACTATGAGGTGGGAAGCTGTAAACTCAAAGAGATGAGATCAGTGATTGCTCTGGAAACAATTACTTTATCTTTGGTGGAGGAATCATTATCCAGATGGAGGTAGAGGGAAGTGTCAAAGAGTTAGCACTCAATCTCTGCAAGACAGAGGTCAGTTTGTCAGCAAACAACAGAAACTCCCCTTGTCAGCAGGTTTGACAATAATGTCAAGGTTAGACCTGATTACATCCTCCAGAGGAACTGTTACAGCAATGATGTGGCCATGCTCCATTTCACATTATTTCTATAATCCTCTGGCACGTTTTCTGCCATAAACATCTTATCATTGATTATCTGTTTCAATTCTCCTTCAGAGCGCTCGTATTTACCATCCTCCAAGTAACCTGATAAATCACTTGCAACAGTTCTCTGCTCAATGAGCCTTCATACTGAGAAAGAACTCATCTGTGGCAATTTTAACATTTGCCTAAATCCCCTTAGCTACTCATCGCTGAAAACCTGTATTCATTCAATCTCACCTTCTATATAAACTTCACCATATATTGAGGACTCAAAAAAATCTAAAGTAAGGACTGCCACTTCTTCCCAATGAAAACTGAAAGAAGCACAACTCTTCTGTCATCCACTTCATTTCCATCCACAAATGCAACCAACTTGATAATTCTGCAGTGTCATTAATCTGATCACCAACAAACATCCTACTCCTATTCCTTCTCACCTGTCTAAGACACACCCCAACTCTTCCATGCCTATGGTCTGACCAAATAAGACCCTGCAGTTTCTCCTCAAAGTATTCTTATTCCATCAAGCTCATTTCTTCCTGAAGACAAATTCCTCAAATGCCTCCTGATACAGCACCCTACCAAATTGACACATATCTCGTTGACATCATCAATGATTGTTCCTCTTAAGGCTCTATGCCCTGTCTTTCAAAATGTTATTATTTCTAAAATGTTTTTCCATCGATTGCTTTCTAATCTTCCATTTACAATTTTCTTTCCTTTAATATATTATTTTGATCAAGTTATATGGAAATTCTTTTGTCGTTGACCTCTTCAAAAAAATTCTCCTCATATCAGTTAGTCTGCATTGAATTCGGTTGACATCACTGATGTTCAAGGTCACCAAGTGGAGTGCATTAGCCCTTGATATTTTTCTTGACTACTTGTGATGTTTGACATCCAGCAGTCCATCTTCATCACTTGATAACTACTGTGCAATATGGATTATTCAGGTGAAATCAAATTTTGGATGAGCAAAAACTCAACTCAACACCAACAATTCTGAAGCTATCCTGTCTGGTTTCTAGCAAACTTTCACATCTTCATCCCTCATTCCAATTTTCTCCTTGGCACTTTGCTCAGATTGAACCCAATGTTTTGCTTGATCCTACACCACACTTCAAACTCCACATTTTGACTGAAATTATTTCCACCATCATCACCCAACATTCCTGCTTAAATACTTACCAAACCATCATCACTTGCTGACTTGATAACTCCTTGCACATTGGCAAACACTCCACTACTACCATTCTACCAATGCTTCTGTCACCGTGCCCTGACCAACTGACATTACTGATCTATTCCTCAATGCACCAATTTCAAAATTTGTCAGTTGGTACACACTTGAATCTGGGTTGAAGATTCTGACTTCAAATCCCATATCAGGACTGAAGCATGAACATCAAGGTTGACAAGGCTAGAGAGCAATGGTGAACGAATGCTACATTGTTGAAAGTGCAATTAAACTTAGGTCCTGTCAATCCACTTGCGTGAATGTTAAAGGTCCTATGTTACTATTTTGTAGAGTTTAAAGGTGTGAGAGAAAAGATTTAAAAAGGACCTGAGGGTAACTTTTCCATGTAGAGGATGGTGCTGACTCAATGACTAAGCTTGGGGGAGTTATTTCCAATGTCCCGTTCAATATTTCCCCTCCATCATCACAAAAACAGATGATCTGGTCATTATTTTATTGTTGTTTATGGGAGCTCTCTGTGTGCATTTGGCTGTTGAATTTCCTACAATGGTAATTAGACTTCAAAAGTAGTTAAATGTTGAGTGAACATGAAAAACGCTATACAAATGTATATAATTTTCTTTACCATATCTATGCCCATCTCCGAATGCTTCCGTGGCTTGTTGCAAATCTGGCACTTTTGGATCTTCCCTCACTCCAGTATTGTTTGCAGAGCCCAAATACATCTTAGCCCCGAAATACATGAATCACTTTAAATATCTGCACTTATTTCTATGTGATTACTATTTTAATATCCAATGATTATCATCTTTGCGAAGGGTTTTTAGGACAATATTAATTAATTAGGACAATTAAGGACAAGAAAAGTGCTTCAATAACGCAGGTTTTTATGACGTATTGACAAGCAAACTAACATCCCAAATGACCTATGGATAGCATTTCCAATTTGCACTATTTACTATTTTCTATGTCTGACCACTTTTAGCAGGGTATACTCTGCGCTAAGTTTCCGAGTTTATTGGAATCACTTGTTTGTGTTCTAATGGGCAGCGGAGTGCGCCTGAGTGGAGTACTCTTTGACTTCAGTTTCTAGGACGGGTGAAGGCATTGGCTCCAAGTTCGACAACACTGCTGCATCCTTCCTGACAGATTTCCACCTCGATTTTACATCTGCTCTGCTGGACCTGTTCTTCCGGACTATACATTTTTAAGAGAGTGTTCAAATTGCGAGCGAACAGTTTTCCTTTGTAATAAAAAAAAAGCTACATCACTTAACCATCAGCAAAGCAGCACCAGAGTTTGCAATGCTCGGTTCCCCGCTGCATTGGCAGCATATTTATAGCCACGTATCTATCACACTAGCAGCTTCAGTCCTGCTGTGCATTTTGGATGTTTCCGGGTTCATCCTGCGCTTTGGGAACATTCGCACTATTCGCGTCCTCGAGAGGTCTCCCAACCTACCGACGTCACAATAGGAGCATTATTGCGAGTGAGTTCCCCCTCCTTCTACCTTTCAGATAAGTTGTTTGGGAGGGCAAGCCCCTGCCCCGCCCCCTCCCCAACCACGAGCGAGCCATCCATCCACGCCCCTCCCCTAGTAATCCCCACCTCCCCCAAACAAACACTGCTCACGAGCGCATTTCGGTTTGGATGACGCCATCAGCGGGCGAGGCCGAAGATTGCCGAAGGCGTTCGGGCGGACTCGGCAGCGGGCGACGGTTTGGCTTCGGCGTCCGTGGAAAGTGTGTTAAGTAGCGCTTGCGAGTAAAAGAGACGCGGCTGGGCTGAGATCGAGTCCCAGTACCGAGACTGAGAACGGTCGGACAGGACGAGAAGCACATATTGTACAAGACATAAAAGTTGAAAGATAGAGGAGAGTTGCATCTGTGGGTGCGGTCCGAGCGAGAGAGGTGAGAGGGACTCGCTGGAGGGTGTCCGTGTGCCCGGGCTTGGAGTTACGGGCATCGTGAGTCGGGCAGCTGGACATTATGCTCGGAGCTGAGGGAGACTTGAGACGGCCGTCTGCGGTGAGTAGTGAGGCACCAAAAAAAAATCTGCAGGACGAAATCTCGTTTTAAATTTGAAGGAGTTTGACATGAGTTTCGTGAATCGTGTGTGTGTGTGTTTGTGTCTGCTGTTGATTCCGCAAAGCCGCAGGTGAAGAAGCTTGGGCTCCGATCAGTCTGCAGCTCGCTGGCCGCCTGTTGAAACGGAGACTGGTGTTGTTTCTTGTTGTTGGTATAAAGCAAGCGTCGTAAGGAACTGAAGCGCTTTTATTTTTGATGTGTGATTTCCACCGCCCCGATCCCCGAAAATGAACCACTTCTTGTGTTTATTTCATTGGAGGTTTTGTCAAGAAAGGGAAAAAAAATACAACCCCTTCTCGGAACCAGCCCCCTACCGAAACCAGACTCCCGCCTGTTGAAAGCGAGAAAAAACGAAGCGGCGATTGGAAATTCGGCCGTAAACTTAAATTAGAAACACAAAGGGAGTCTGAAAAAAAACACGTTCTGGTAGAAAACGGCCAATTCTTTTTTTACCTGCTGGACTGTTCCGCCTCTCGATCTCTTTCTTCTTCTGTTTGAATGGGGCTAGGGTTGTTCCAACAAGATTAGCTACTGAAAAAGATCTCTTCAAATGTGATTTTTTTTGGATCTTGAGTGTATCTTAACGCTGAAGGAAGTGGATTTGTCCCGTTTTGAATTCCAACCTCCACACCACCCCACACCACCACAACATAT